CATTATTACAAATAACTTCATTTCTGGACATTTATGGTTTGATTTCTTTGTATGTATGGATCACTTGGGTTGTTACCGACATCTGGTGAAAATTTCACGTCATTAGCACCTCTAGTAACATATTTACTGAGAAAAATTGTGACGTGTTCAATACTTATTTTACCCGCTGTACATACAGTATATACTGCATTTAAATATTTTTTTAAAGTGAGCTCATTTAGTACCCACAGAGAAAACCTTACCATTTTCTTACTAAAGGCCCTGTCACATTATGTTTTAGACAACTTGTGAAATAATGTCTAAATTATTGAAAATAGTTATTTGATTAGTCCGGTAGCATTACAGTATGTATACACCTAAAATAGGCTTTCAGTTGATTTTTATTCAATTCCATTTTAAACATAGATGACTTTAAAATTGTCATATGTTGGTATAAGTTATTGAAAACATAGTGTGACAGGGCCCTAAAATCAGAAAGCATTTCTCTAAAGCGGCCACAGATGTGCAAGTTGCGTTGTACTTTGAACTTTTGTTGCCAAGTTTTAAAATGTGTTCCTGGCAAGTTGAGAATGAGTTTAATTTTCAGTAAACATGTTTTTTGTTAGTCTACTAATTCCATATTATCTGATTTACATCATTAGCAACCTCAAGTCAAAGAAGAAAAGGTTCTGCAAAGTTGTCACCTACTGAGATAAAATGAATTTTTATCCACTTAGATTTTTTTTTCTCTGCTGGATATTTAAAATTCATGTTAGAGTATGTATTAAAGATCAAGGAAGTGAAAAGCTGCAAAGAAAACAGTGAGATACAAGCCAGTGTATGTGTGTGTGTGTTCAGGGGTGCAAGTTTTTGCATGTGGAGAGGTGTGGTAACATTTTGTCTGAACAGCATTAGGATGCTTGACACTCTGCTTTGAGCAACCACCTCTGATTGGTATTAATGAAGAATTATGTCCTTGAATTTATCTCTGTGTCTCCTTGTCTCTGAGGTTTTTCCACTAGTTGCTAATTAAATTTCAGCAGGGATAATTTGGCAGGAATATCCGCTGGCTTTAAGGGTAAACAGCATGGTGATGGAGAAAGCAGAGGAGTGATAGGTGAAAGTGTGTGTGTGTTTGCTTGTGTAGTGCTGGTAGAATGAGGTTATAATGAGAGATTTTTGACATTAGAATGCCTGATGTCATTGAGGAAACAACAGGATTTCAGACTCTATGGCCAAAAAAACAGAGGGTGGTGTGAACAAAGCTGGATTCATTCTCAGTAGGTAACTGGCCTTATTGCGATCAAAGCAAAATTCAGCAAGTTGTGATTATTTTAATTATGAATAGACCTCCTGTTTTCTTTTTAAACAATGCATGCATTATTAGATGTGGCTGCTCTGTATCAACCGTGAGATAATGGAGGGAACAAATTGTGATCTGGTCTAAATTATAAACATGTTTTGTGCAAATTATGGATAAAAGTGAAAATAATAATAATAATAGTTTGAGTAAAGGTAAACTTAAAAAATGTTTTTTTCTAAAACATACAGAAAAGTAGAATGATAATTAAAATGAATGAATTAAACATGAATTATTAGATGTTTCATTTTTGTTTTGGGTCTGTGTTCCTATGCATCAGTGTTGCGAATCCCAACTGAATATTGAATACTTTGTTCAAAATCTTTGGCTACTGGTTTTGTTGGACTGATCGTTAGGCTAACCTACCTTTATCCAAAATAGCTTAGAGACACTTGTTACAGAGTCATTGGAGTACACTTTATTTACTCAGATAAAAAAAAAAACATAATCAAAGGCTGGAATATTTCCATAGACAAAAAAAGCCTATAAATCAGAATGATGGAGTTGTGTTGGTTCTTCCCTCATTTTTTGAAGCATAGAAAAAACATACATTTCACAAAGAAGCTGATTTCACAGCCCAGATATCTGTGAGCTTGTTCTGTTTGGCCAGAAAATAATCAGTTTAATAAACTGACAGCCAATCTGAATCTTATTGTAATCAGATGAATTGCTTACAATAAGTGATCAAACCCAACCTGGTTATTTGGTTCATTTGCATGTAAGAGGTGCTAAAATATGGAAGATCCAGGTTTGACTCCAAATTAAGGAAGCCAGTTTCATTCTTGCCAATCTTTTAAGGCCCTGTCARGCTGTAACATTTCAGATGACTTAAGCCAATTTATGAAAATGTTAAAGACATATACGTTAAAGAGTAACTTACCCCAAAATTAACTTTTTTTAGCTGATAAACTGTCTAGAATGTGTCTAAAATGTTATATAGTACTGTTTCTGTGCCATTTTTGATGTTTTTGTGCGTGTTTGTCCAAATCTGTAACATTTGGTCTAAAAACGTCTTTTTGTCTTTTTGCTGCTCATATGGGTAGAGCAGTGGTACTGCAGGCTAATTTGCTTATTGGTTAACGGCTCTCCTCTGTGACGTGTTTTTCCACGGTTTCGTCACAGCGGCTGTGTTCTGGTATAAAAGCCTCTCTCTAAGACACGCCCCTGCAGCAGTCAGAGGGTGGAACAGTTAGCAAGCTTAGCATGATCGTCTGTTGACCTGGGTGGGGAGAGCTGACTGCTGCGCTGCTCTCTCTCTCTCTCCCTCTCTCCACACACACACACAAACACACACACACACACTCTCTCTCTCCAGCAGTACGTCCTGCACAGTGGGAGGTCAGGAGGGGAAAAAAAGGCAGAAACACAGCGGGGCAGCTGCAGCCCTAACGGACCAAACTTCAGTCAAACAAGACCCAACACTTTTATTCCTGATTTAAACTAGTGATCTTGAGAGCAGCTGCAGCTGTATGCTTTTATTTTTTTTACATCAGGCTGTCACGGAGCGCTCCACTCCTCTGTCCTGTAAGGCGGACAGCTCAGCCGAGGCTGTCACGTTCTCTCGTCCTGGCCACACCTCTGCTCTCTAACCCACCATCACCACCCCCCCAACCCCCCACCCACCCACTTTGATGCATTTTTCAAATTTCGCCTTGGGGCGGAGTTATCTTTTCACAGGGGGGTAAGATACACTTTAAAGATGGAATTAAAAAAAACTGGAAGCCTCTAGGCATGTACAAACTGTAATGCTAACAAACTGATCAGATATCTAACTTTTATTTGTAAATTAGACATTAAAAAATCATATCTAAAATGGTGTGTGACAGGACTTTTTAGTTTAGTGTGGTTGCAATTTTTTTTTTATTATTTACTAATTTAACCTGCAAATGTTTTGAAAACCAAACAAACCTTGTATTTTTATGATACTTTGCTGCTGGAGCATTCCTTCAAGCACTAAAATTGTCTAATTTAAAAATATTGCYTTTTTTTATTATTATTATTAAGTTTAGCATAGATTACCATTTTTAAAAGGATTTTCAACACTTTCAAAACTACGTGCTGTGATTCACAGGTAAAGTCACGATCATTTCCACTCAGGCGGAACAGAACAGGTGGAACATTGTGTAACACATTTGAGAATTAAAACTGCATTACAAAGGCCACTTATTAATGGCTACAGAAACAAAAAGGAAACATGAAATGACTAAGACATTGCTCCTGCATAGTCTGATTTACTTTAAAAAAAGTTATTTGGTTATTCTTTCTTGTACATCATGTGTGAAGTAAACTTCATAATACTTCAAAAAATGTTGTTTTTCACAGCAGTAACACACTGTAGTATTTTTCCATATTATTCCATTTAATTTAAAACTTTTATAATCTTTATAATTTTTTTTGTGACTCTACAACTCATTTGATTTATAGCATTGTAACATTTTAAACAACTTTTTATGCAAGAGATGTCAGAGTCGGATGCAGTAGTTTGAAAAGCTGGAGGATAACAACGCTGTTTTGTTTCTAATTAGCAATAGAAGAAGATAAAACGTGAAATCTCTGGTTAACCTGATGTAATGAGCAAAGTTTTAAATGTAAATGTTACATAGATGGGGTATATTATTTTCTCTTTAAAGCCACACACTCCCACTCTGTTTTCCCTGCTGCCCACCTCCTTGCAGCATCTGTGTGCAGCAGCCATGACTAGTCCTTCATCCAGGTCGTGCCCCTTTGTATTACACTATCATACCTGCCTCAGATACCTTATCAGTAACCTCGCCTGGCCTCATCTTACTCCCTTTGCTCCAGCTCACTGATCTTCTATACGGCTATGGATCGTAGTTGTAATACTGAGATTATATGGTGTTTACCTTTAGCCTTCAATCTGCCTCAAACCTCAGTTGCTCAAAGTCTGTCCACTTTATGTTGTATTTTTCTCATTCAAATCATCATTTGACAGTTTTCTTTTTCCTTTATTAATTTTTTTAATTTTTTGCCCGGTTGTTATCTCTTTTAAGCCGATCTTCTGACAGCCCCTCCCGACTTGACGAATGCTGCTGCGATGTACCGTGGTCCAGTTTATGCGCTTCACGATGTCTCTGATAAAATCCCAATGACCAACTCTCCTCTCCTGGATCCTCTCCCTAACCTGAAGATCAAAGTCTACAACTCATCAGGTCTGGTCACACCGCAGGATGACCTCGGCGGAGATTTTACCTCTAAATTGTCTCCTAAGGTAATGCTGCGTTTGCATCCAAGTTAAGTTGCTGTTATATTTTATCATCGCCTCACCTTGTTTTAGCCTGTGCACAGAATAAAATCAAAAAAGGGGAAGGAAGTTTGCTTATTCTGCAAGAGCACAGCTGGGACCAAAATGTACAACTATTTCTAGTCAAAGACAAAACCAAACACTATTAGTATACATGCAGCTCGGTGCCCCAGTTTCCTCCTTCTGCTCTGTCAACTACATGGGCTGCATACGAGAGCAACTTGTCACAAACACAGATGAAACCACTCAGTTTCATCACAGTACCTGACCTTAGGCAATACAAGAGCTGAGCTTCTCATCTCTGAGCTCTACAAATGAGAGGCACTTTTGGATGATTTCATCTTTCACTTTTGCTGTTTTTTTTATTTTTTTTAATTGTTCCGCTTGTGAAACTTCTACTCTAGTTATGTCTGACCTTGCCTGAGAAAACTGAGTTGTTGTTTTTTTTTTCCAATGGCACTTTTCTGTCCTCATCACACTCCAGTAAATCCTTATCAGACTTGTTTGGTTTATATGTGAATTAACATCTAATGGTCAAGATTTTAATTTAAAAAATAGAAAAGAAACGAAATGTCATAAGGTGTTTATAAATCCAAACTTCTTCTCCTCACCCACTACCTCTGATTCAAAGCAACATTTCAGCTCTTTTAAAGTAGGTTTAGTTAATGAACAGTTATTAATATAGCTGTGATGGTTCGCTCTTTGAGTGACCTTAGTTTGAACAGATAATTGAATTCTGACCAGACAGATAAGCTAAGCTCTCACATTAAGTGCAAATTTACCATGCAACATTCATTTACTGATTATAAAATAACAAAAATAACAAAAACCCATATAATTTGATAATACTGTGGATTTCCAGTGCATTGTAGATGACTGATGCCCTGTACTGCACATAAAAAGCTGCATCAACCTTTATAACTAACTCTGCACAGTTAAAGGGATCCATGATTAGTTGTAACATTAGACTTTATTTGACAAACATTTATTTTAACTGTAAAATAAAGACTGTAAAAATACTGTTGGATGTTCAGTTTTTATCATTTTTAAACTAAGTTTAAAAATTACATGGACTGGGTCATTTTATTTACATGCAAAGCATTCTGGGTAAATGATGACATGAATAGGTCATCGGCACGAGGCTGTTAGAGAGCTATATCCACCCTGAAGGTTAATCTTGGACAATATCTGATGATCGACTCTTTTAAATGAAACCAGAGCGTTGACAGAGAGAAGGTAGAAATGACTCAGTCTGTAACTGAAAATATAGATGGAGGACAACAGAGCTGCTTCWTGGAAGAAGAACCTCAGCTTAGCCTGTTAGCTTTAGCGTTAGCCCCGATGCTATCACCATATATATATACTAGCTCAGTGCTACACATTCTCCTCTCGTCAGTAAGGTCCTCCATCCACATGACAGAGAGGGGAACGCAAAAATGACTCAGACTGCAACTGAAAATATGGATGGAGGACCTCAGTTTAGCTTGTTAGTTTGTTGCGCTAGCGCCGAGCTAATACGTATTGGCCTCTGCGCTAGCACAAAGGCTAACAAGCTAAGCTGAGGTTCTTCTTCATGAAGCAGCTCTGTTGTCCTCCATCTATATTTTCAGTTKCAGGCTGAGTCATTTCTACCTTCTCCTCTCTGTCAACGCTCTCTGGTTTCATTTAAAAGAGTCGATCATCAGATATTGTCCAAGATRAACCTTCAGGGTGGATATAGCTCACTCACACCGAGGACTTAACCACGTCATCGTTTACCCAGAATGCTTTGCGTGTAAATAAAAAAGCTCTGTCCGTGTTAAAATATATTTTTAAAAATTTACAAGACTAAACAGCCTACAGTATTTTTATAGTCTTTATTTTACAGTTAAAATATATGTTTATCAAATAAAGTCTAATGTTACAACTAATCATGGATCCCTTTAAAAGGTTTCTGTACATCCATGAACTTTCAGAAGAATCTGTTGTTAAAGGACCTGCCATTGCTCTTACAGATGTCCATTTTTTCCTATTTTATGCATGTTCATGTCATTAAGGTCATAAAGCTTTCATAAAGTATATTTGCAGCTCACTTTATGCATTATGCCCTTTGTCGTAGGTCTATCTGAGGAAAGGTTACCAGTTAATTTATTATGTGCTGAACAGCATCGAACTCAGCACATACACAGACCATAACAGAATCATGTCATGTTTTACTTTGTACATCTTTCGGTCATATTAGCTGTTTRTTATTGTACATCYTTTGTCACTGATGTCCTTTRGTTCCCAGGTTACTCAGTCTCTGTTGGATAACAGTGACACCATGAACCTTCGCAARCAGAGCTTGGCCCGGACCCGAGATCCTTCCTGCACTGCTCACGGGTCTTTCAACAGTCAGGGAGGACACCTCATTGTTCCCAATTCAGGTAAAATCTGAACATCTCATTATATTTTGTTCTGGCTACTTTACACTGGGTTTATTAGATTGTTAAAGATTCCAAAGCTTGGCATCAAATTTAAATGGCTACTCTTGAGCTGAATTTGGCGGTTTGACCACAAAGTTTAATGCAAAAAGAAATATTCAGTTTCATCCAAATTATGCCAAGAGATGAGCTGATAATTCTTGCAAAGTCAACATATTGTTTCTGCAGCCAGAACTAAATAATTCCACAAATTTGGTCTGAGTGGGTGGCATGCCAGGAAAAAGACCGCCAGCCAAACAGAACATTAGAGCTAAACAGTCGTTTGCCATTTGACATGTAAACAGAGATACACTTTCTAGGTCTAGGAGAAACGTGGAGGGAATCATTTTATAATAAATAGTGAGTTTCTATTTGTATATCTAAAAAAAGGCTAAAAATAAAAACAATGTTTACTGAGCAGCCAAGTCAAAGCTCAGATATGGACCAAACTAAAATATTACCAAAAATAAAAAATTAGAAACAATTTCAAGCATATAGCATTTATTGTGATCAATTTTCTTTAGAAATAGTAAATATATTTGGCACCCCCCTCCAAAAAAAAAAGCACTGTATCAAAAAGGATCAAATCTTTGCTCAGGTATGTATCTCTAATATCAATTGTAATAAGATGTGCTCCTTTTGTTCAGTGAGCTTATGTTACATTTTCAAAATCGTGAACAGCAAAAACAATGAATAATGTAACTCGCCCATTTGAAGCAGTTCTCAGAATCTATAAAACACTGCAGCTTTTTGTTCCTTGATGATATATTTAATAGAAGGTTGAATGTTAGATGCCTTTAAGGTCAATGCTTTAAAATTCATCATAATGATAAAATAGTTAATATTTCAGCTGTTTGTGGTGAAATTAAACACAGAGACCCCTAGTATTCTTTCCCTCACCCTTCTTTTCCTCCTTCATGCAGGGGTGAGCTTGTTGGTTCCAGCAGGTGCTGTTCCTCAGGGGAGGGTGTATGAGATGCATGTGACTGTGCACAGGAAGGACAGCTTAAGGTACGTTTTGTAGGTCTTTTTCCTTACTTTTTTACCCTTTTCTACTGTTTGTTCTGTTTGCTTGAGAAGTCTTCCACAGTGTGAGTCCTGTTTGAGCTGAATGATTTATTATTTGCTGTATGTCCACACACACACACACACACACACACCCTCTGTGTGTGGTTCATTCAGTGGAGGTCACTGCTGCTAGGACTCGAGTACTAACATCGGAATAAGAATTGCGCTGAGCAGATTAAAACTGGATATCTGACCCATCCATAATAGTCTAATTAACATCATAATCTGTTCTATAATCCACAAAATGAACTCARATTTCAATCAGGTTTTCAAAGTTTACAGCCAGTACACTTTGGCCAAATAAAACATACTTATCATGCACTGTCTTCAAAAGTTTAAATATATTATTTGACTACAGAGCAGCAAAATGATTAATGTTTACTTCATGGGATGTAAAAAAACAATTATTAGCCTTTTAAAGGAAATGCACTCAGATCTGTTTCTGCACAATAAGTACAAGATTAGTGGCTAGTTTGGGGATTACTGTAATCCTATTACTTGCATTATAATCTTTATTTTTCCTGTACAAGTGTGAGGTACAATTGTGTTCTGTGCACAAGACAAATAAGATATATTTTTATGTTTTAATTACAAGATTTTTGTGAAAAGGACCAGCACATTGCATTTCATCCTGCTTTTTTCCCTTCACTTCCTTTCTGCTGAACTGAACTGAGCCCAAAGCATCTGCACGGAGTCATTAAAAAAAGAAACTTGTGTGCAACAAACAGTTGAGGATTTGTAGCACTTTGCAAGTAACACAATCTGACACACAGTCTGAGCCATGTTTTCTGTCCCATGCGTTTCGTCCGGGCTTTTTCTCAATCAATGCCAATCGATCGCAATTACACCCCACACTACTCGCAACAGTGTTTCTGAGAGTCAAATGTCTCCCGTGTCCTCTGTCTTTATTTCACTCAATAACTGGCAAGCAAAACTTACAAAGCTAGAGACATTGACTTACCTCAGCTATGCTTGGCAAGGCAAAAACTTCTGCTTTAGGAGTGAAACTAAGGAGCCATGTACACAACATTTCATCATTTGCTGTCTTTCTGTTTGGTAAGAGATAGCATACAGTGTATGACCTGTGGATGGATGTATTTTAGGTATTTAAACTCTATCTGTGCCAGTTGAGTCATAGTGACTAAACATTTTCTAGAGTAATATGGCCAATGGCTAATTGCCCTTTTTATAAAGTCTTAAAATATCATTCTAGGTTTAGATTTACTGATGGCAGACGAGCACTAAATAATAAATGTTAATGGCATTCAATATGCATAGTCTCACATATTTCTCAGGAGAAGAGATTGAATCTTTATTTTGCTGTACTGTAGCATGGAGCCCATTAGTTAGTAAGTGTTTCGGGTTCTAAAGCCCAGATGTACCATAAAAAGCAAAACAGTCTGTGAACATTTTTTTCCTGCTTTAAGCTGTGAACTACTGACTCCAGCTGCTGCTGACTAGACAGATTGTTTTCTGTATGACTTTTAGAGGCTCTGATTTCTTTTGTTTTTCTTTTTGCCTCGTTTGTCGAGAGGTAATCTGACATGCTATCATCAAACTTTGTATTAAAAAGTCTGCAGATGCCTTTAGCGATCGTGAATTGTTTGTTGCAAAAAAAATTGTTGTTTTTTTCAGCTTTCTGATTGCGTTGCTTTGCTTTAGAAGTCAAAAGTTTCAAACTTGGCCGATTATTGGACAACACAATGTAGATACAACACCTGTGCAGGAGAGGGTGAAACTTGTGGATACACTGCAAACTGCTGCACATTGTATCTGAGAAAAAAAACACCAAATTTACAAATGTGATATGGAAAAAATTACAGTTAAATCACGAGGAATGTGGTCTATCCTCTCATTTTGGTTCACTCCTGCTCAGAAGTGTGTAACAAATATATAATATAACTAAGTTTAAGTACAAATACCTTGACAGAAAAGGACTTTGTAGAAGTGAATTTTGCTGATAAAAKATATTTCAGTAAGCCATAAAACTGCTCACAATATTTGGGAAAGTAAAAGTACTTTTGTAAGTAAATAATGAAGTTTTATGTCCTTTCTTTCTTCTTTGTGTTCAAACAATTAAAAAAATAATAAAATAAAATTATTCATTGCAGCTACAAGTTAGCGGGAGCAGAAGCAAACAGTGACTAATAACATTTACTTTGTTATAATACCTAAGCATTTTTTGAGGATCTGTAATTTTACAATGTATTTTTTAAAATTGTAACTTTTACTTTTATTTAATTACATTCAAAACCTAAAATAAGGATGGTTTTACTTCTTTACTTTAATACTTAACACTCATTTACATGCTACAAATTACCAGAACTCATCATGAAGTGTTTCCAGCACGCTAAAACTTAATTGTTGAATTTACTTATGTCGACTGATTTCTCTAAACGTAGTTGAGTAAATGTAAAGCATTATATGTTTTATTTTAAAGAAAAAGTGAAAATTTTCACTTTTTCTCAATTTACTCAACTTGGTTTAATGAAACCAGTTTGGTTAAGTAAATTCAACACTTCTTTTCTTAAAGTGCACTCAAAAAAACAGGCGTTTTATTTGCCTAACCAATTTCTCTCAAGTGGCTCCACTTAACCAAATTGATGAAATGTAAAGCAAAATTCACATTTACTTTAAAAGAAAATGTGAAATGTGCTTTATGTTTAATCAACTCAGTGGTTAAGTAAATCCAGCACATCAGTTTTGTTTTTGAGTGGTAATTCTTTCTTCTTTCTTTGAAATGTSTTACATGTAACACATTTCAAGTGGATGTTYAGCATTACCAATATTTTTAATGAGATTATGACCTTTTTTAATGTGGATATTTTTCTTT